TTCTGTTATCAGGAGGTTGGATAGCCCCGGGCTCATTCAACACATCAATTATCTCATTGGAGGGTATCCGAATTTTTAAATCATGTCAGTTTCGAAATGCATTGATAATGAAATGAAGCGTAAACAAGAAAATCCAATGTTCAATCTGCGAAGGTATGTTTCACCCAGTTTGCATAGATATTTATGAAGAAAAGGCTGAAATAACTTATGAAAGTGAAAATGTCAAATATAATTGTGACAGATGTATGAAAAACCCAACACTATTTGAGCTTAAACAAATGCTAAAAGATTGCCTAATTAAATTGAAAGAACAAAATGATCTCAGGAATAAACATATTGAATATATTAAGGAAAATGCTGATGTAAATGGTTAACAGATGCAGGGCAAACAAAAAACATCTTATGCGAATGCCTTATTAATAAAACCGGTAAAAGATCAGAAGAGCATAATAACGAAAGCAGATCTTTTGAATAAGATAGATCCAAGTAAATTTAATTGATAGTGTCAAAAATATACGCAATGGGGGAATTTTCATAAAAAATGAGGGAAACAATGCGAAATATGTTATATCAGCTAAGGTTAGAGAAGGGTTTCGTTAATAAATATAATGTAGAGGAATCTATTCCAAAAAAATCGAAAATTGCAATAATGGCATCGGAAGAAAAATATATACCTAAATTACGAGAATGATCGGATTATTGAAAATATTGTTGATCAAAATAATCTGAAAAAAATGATGTGAATGCAGTAAATAAAATTGAAATAATTAGAAAATATACTGAGAAATCGAGAAAGAATACATGCAATATTTTGCTGGACATACTCGGTTCATCAAATGATAGTCAAAAGAAAAACTCAATTTGGGATGAAGGAGATGTTTCATAAGAGATCACTATGATATACTGCGTTGATCATGATGATGCTGAAGAATGTGGCTCAAATGCTGTGAAATGTATAAACTGTGTTAGAAAAGTGACCAAACTTAAAACACCTCTTTATGTTAACCATAAGGCCTCTGATCCTGATTGTCCATGCTACGAAAGAATTGTTAAAAATATAAGTAAAAAACAACATATTCTGAAAAATAGCAATAATCTAATAAACAGATTGTATATTTCAATTGTCAAGGATATCTCAATAAAAAAATTAGAAACAGAAATGTTTATCTCAAGTTGGAAATCTGATGTAATTTGCTTAGTAGAGACGCATATAGTGGGTTATATTCTAAATAATGAAATGTTTATAAATGGGTTTGATTATATAAATTGTGTATCATCTAATAAACGAACAGGTAGAGTTCTAATATTCTTGAAATATAAGTTGCCATACACAGTGGTCTCAATTGTAAACAAAGAAAATTATTTATAGTATATTACTGTCGAACTAAAAATGAGAATGAAAAGGTATTTGACAAATGGGCTGTATCATCCACCAGGAATTGAGATAGTTTCCCTTTCTGATCTTGAAGAATTATTTGACGAGTTGGCGGTTTTCGCTGGTGATATAACAAGCCTGGGCGATTTCAATATAGATATGATTAATTTTACACGAAAAAATGAAAACATTTAATCCAAATATATGGCTTTATCAAATTATTTGTGAATAATTGAATAAATAAATAAATGAATGTAAACATTTGATTGTGTGAACTGTGAAATATCGAAAAATATGACTTTCATCAACTATTCTGTAAATAAATAAATAAATTATTACTGATTCCACACGTGTAGCAAAAAACAGCTCTACCCTAATAGACTATGTACTGACAAATAGCCAACACCTGGATCATACTGTTCATTTGACACCAAAAATATCTGATCATTCTATAATGTCACTTAAATTGCAGGTTTCTGAGACTTTACAGCTAAAAGTATTATTCAATCTCGCTCGTACAAGCAATATGATGAGAAATGGTTTCGAATCCAATTATTGAATATGGATTGGAATAAAAATATTACCAACATTGATGAACTCTCATCAATTTTTATTGAAAAAATTGTAAGTTTGATGGATGAAATGTCTTCCACAGAGGTAATTTCAGTGAGGGTTGGAAATACGAACAAATGGATAACTCAGGAACTGAAGAACTCAATTAAATAAAGAAATATGATATACGAACGATCAGTTTTCACCAGAGAAAATAAAGACTGGGATTTTTACAAGAAAAAGAGGAATAGTGTGATTTGTAGATTGAGAGAAGAAGATAAGAACTGTACCATCAGTTGATACAGAAAAGTTCTACTCAAGATGTGTGGAGGAACATCAAATATTTGTTACCGAATAAGTCAAGAATCAATAAAGGGGGAGTGGAGTTCAAGGGCAAAATAATTGAGGATGTGACATCAATTACCTATCATTTCAATAGTTTCTCTTTAGATAGTAAGAAGACATTTTACTAAATGTACCGAAATATAACGATTGTGAATCATATTTATCTAATATTCAGACAAGTGGGAATTTCTCTAGGTTCGACAGGATAACTATGCACGGTTTGAATAATGTCATATATTCAATGAAACATACATCAGGTGATGAGCATGGTATGTATACAAAAATTTTTAAAGATGTCTTTGAAGTAGTTGGAAACAGGTTCTTGGATGTTGTAAATGATTCTTTGTCTTACGGCGTATTTCTGTGGTTATGGAAGAGTTCTTTGATAACTCCTGTGCAAAAAGTACAAAATACAAACAAGTGTGAGGAATTTCGAGGAATAAATGTACTATCAGTATATGAAAAAGTTTTAGAAATTGCAGTCAAGCAGCAACTAAGTGGCTTCATAAAGAAGCATATTGTACTTGTAAGTAATCAATCTGGATTTCGAATGAAGCATTCATGTGAGAGTAGTATTTTGAATATATGCAATAAGTGGCTGAAAGAAGTTGATGAATTTAGATAGTCTTAGTGATCTTTCTTGATTTTCAGAGGGCATTCGAAACTATCGATAGATTATTTTTATCGGAGAAAATGAAAAAAATTGGTTCAAGTGATGAAGTATATAATTGGTTTGATACCTATTTACATAATCGACGGCAGAAGGTAAAGTTTGGCACTTGCATATCTTTGGAAGGGGTTAACAATTATGGTATTCCACAGGGAACGATTTTGGAACCATTAAATTTTTTATATTGTATGAAAATGATATCATAAAATATGTAAGGGGGTTTGAAATATCATTTGTTGTCCGATGAACAATGCTTTATACATCGTGTCATAATATCGATGAAATGGTTCAGAAAATGAATGATCTATTAAGTAGATTGTATATGTGGTTATGTGATAATAATCTCAATATAATCATAAAATAGTCAAAATGTATGATGGTGAAACATCATATAGAATGAGCAATACACGTTCACAGAATATATAGAGAGAGTTCATAGTATGAAAGATTTAGGTGTCATGTAAGATGAAAATCTTAATTTCAAGTTGCATACTGATTGCATGGCCAACAAGAAGTCAAACAAAGTGCATTTTATGACAAGACTGAGTAACAGATTGAATATGAATACAAGATTGTTATTGTTTAAAACAATTGTTTTGTCATATATTGACTATTATACGTCTCTTTATTCAATCTTCAGAAAGCATCTATCAGTGAACTCCAGAAAATTATGAACAGAGGAATGAGATTAACTTTGAAATGTAAAAAAGAAGACCCATTAAGTTAATGTTACAAATATTGAATTTAATGAGCGTAAAACAGAGGATAACCTTCAGGACATTAGAGTATATCTATAAAATGAAGAACAAGTTGTTTGCCAAAGTTGAAAATTTGAGATGCGTCAATGAAATTCATGGACATGAAACTCGTCATAGAGATGACTTCTTCATAGAAAAACATAATTTAGCTTTCATGCATAGATCCACAATAAATGAGGGAATGAGAATGTTTAATAACTTACCGCTGATGTGAGAAATTGCATTTCACTGAGGAGTTTCAAAAGATATTTGAAATTATTCATATTTCGTAATATTGTATTATGATGAAAGTGTATGAGTATTACTATTGAATTTGTTTGCAATAGCTTCATGCTGAATAAACTTATTATTATTATTATTATTAATTCAATCCAACAGATAATTTCAAATGCCAATGAACTGAAATGAAAATTGTCTCATGCACTATCGACAAATTTCACGTGTAGTTACTGTGATTACATATGTTACACATAATATCTGCAAAAATGTAATACTAAGACACTAGGAATGTTAACAGTGACAGTTTGGCTATAGACTTATCAGCTTTCTCGATTTTATTTCAATAATATAAAACGATGAAACTTATAGGTGTATGGTTATATTTAATATATAAATTTAGGAATTTTTTATGTCTACCTATTTATTTTTTGTCCATTTATACAATACACCATCCAAAGATTTAGACAATTACCGAAAGAAAAATACAATGAAGTTTACAACTCATGTGAAATTAATCCAGAACCAAAACTGACAACTTACAAACAATAGATATTATGGAAGATTCAACTCTTTGAGCCAATTAAAAAAATAGATAACTGAAAACTACACGAGAATCTGAAAAAAAAACTTATATATAAAATTATATCTAAAAAACAAACCGACGAGAGCTGGCCTGATATTACTAGGTCAGCATAAAATAGGTAAATGACATCATGAAAAATCGCAGTACTACGGATTAATTTTATGGAAGGGTGGCACATTAAACAGCGAGCCAGAGGTGTATTTCTCGACGAGGTGCTCTCAGAACACGAAAATGTATAACGTGAAGAGAAGAACATCATAAACAAGAAAGCCAATCAACTTCTGTAGTAGCATGATTCTGCATATTTCAATACGAGTGAAAATTCAAGTGATATTTCAATATTCATCTTCTGGATAAGTATATAAAACTCAACTATGTGAATTTCAATTCGAAAGTGAAGCAATCTTCATTCGCGCTAACCACTCTTTTACGAAAAATATTATAAATGCATTTTTTATGTTGAAAATTGAGAATGGAAATTACACCTAAAAGTTTTTCGACCTCGATTGGGATATGAACTCAGGTCTTTCAGGTTTACGCCCTGCTGCTCTGACCGCTGAACTACCGAGGTCTTTATCCAATTTCGACGTATATCTAAATACTCTTTTTATTGGCAAGCTAGTCTTCGAACGCTCGGATTGTCGTCTATTTCAAACTGCACGCGAAAGTGAATAAACACCTTCCCATCCTCCCAGATGTATTAATTTTCCTTTCGGAACATGATATTTTTAGAGTGAAGCAATAATTACTCGCGCTAAACACGCACGTATGGTATATATGATGAATATATTTTTTATGTTGAAAATTGAGAATCGATACCTAAAAGATTTAGATTTAGAATTATACCTAAAAGTTTTTCGACTTCGACTGGGATACGAACCCAGGTCTTTCAGGTGCTTCTGAAATAGATATGAAAACGTCAATTTAATTTTTTTGAGAAGAATAAAATTGTCTTTTTTGTTTTCAGTATTATTCAGTTTATTCGTTTTTAACATTGAAAATAGCATGTTATTGCTAAAAACATTTGAAATAAACACTCTCAAACAGGCAATAAATCGAACCGATGCTAAGCCAGAAATATTGCTCTGAATACTGAAGAGAGAAAAACGCCAAGTTGATTTAAAAAATAACTTTGACTTTTGATATCAATGGTAATTCATGAAATTGAATTGTTAATTACTTTCGACAAACTTGTGATATACTATAAATGTTGACAAAAATAAAGCTTTTGACATTGAAATGACTATTCAAACATTCAAACAATCAATAAAACCAATTAATATATATATATATATATATATATATATATATATATATATATATATATATATATATATATATATATATATATATATATATATAAATATATATATATATATATATATATATATATATATATATATATATATATATATATATATATATATATATATATATATATATATATATATATATATATATATATATATATATAAAAGGAAATGAAATATTTTGTGCTTATGGCACTGAATGGAATATTTGAGAAAATGAACACTAGAACATTCATATGAAAAATTCAAATTAATCAAGAGAATGTTATAGTAGAGTTAGATATGTGAACGTGTACGATGTGATGTCTCCATTATGCTTCAAGTGATAAATGTTAGAGAAATATTGAAATCGATGCCACACCTGATGGAAGTGCGAGACATATATGTTTCGTTCTGCAAGGAACTCGTCAGTCGCACCACGTTCATCGAATTTCGATGCTTGGTGTGTCTATAATCTGAGAGGTGTTTTCTACTGATTCCTATAGATGGAATTGTGGAGTATTCATAACTCTACAGTCTTCCACTTGGAGTCACAAGAAGATGCTTGGGGGTTAAAATCGTTGCCTCACTTCGATGGACGTGGTGCGACTGACGAGTTCCTTGCAGAACGAAACATATATGTCTCGCACTTCCATCAGGTGTGCCATCGATATCTTTATTTCTCTAACATTTATCCCTTGAAGGATAATGGAGACATCACATCGTACACATTCACATATCTAGCTCTACTATAACATTCTCTTGATTAATTTGAATTTTTCATATGAATGTTCTAGTGTACATTTTCTTATATATATATATATATATATATATATATATATATATATACATATATATATATATATATATATATATATATATATATATATATATATATATCCAAGATTCCCAAATCTTTCATACTAGTAAATACTGAGGCTCTCAATCGAAATATTGGAATATTTGTCAACGAGAACGAATCCATCACTTTCGAGAGTGAATATTGTGTGCGTTTCGAGAAAATTATCGTTCTTGTTGAATGATAATAGGATATACAATTGCTTCATCATTATTACTAATCATCAGTCCGTATTCAATCAATCAATCAATACCCAATGTTCCTATACTAGGAACTACTCAATACAATGCTCTTAATTACTTTTATACCTGTAACTGCCTATGACCCGATCCTTCTATACCTGCTTGGCTGTACTTGATTTAGTATATTACTGAGTTTTCCCAAGTAAAGTTGTGCTATCATTTTGTGTATTTTGGTCGTTTTGTAGTATCAAGACACTAAACTGAAACAATGGCACCCACAGGCAGACGTACCTGTGTGTGGTGAATACAATTTGAAAGAGAGCAGAAGAACGATTTCTGACTTTGTGAAAAGAGCTTATCTTGCCTATTTTGGCGTTCATTTAGGAGATCAAGATAAATCTTGGGCCCCACATTTCATATGTAAAACATGTGTTGAACATTTGCGACAGTGGACAACTGGAAAGAGGAAGTGCCTAAAGTTTGGTGTACCAATGGTTTGGAGAGAACCGCGGAACCATCATGACGACTGCTACTTTTGTCTCGTTAATATTAAAGGCATAAATAGAAACAATAGACACAAATGGACATTCCTGATCTAGATTCTGCAAGAAGGCCTGTAGTGCATTCGGAAGAAATACCCGTTCCATCATTCAGCAGTCTACCTGAACTGACAGAAGATGATACAGAAACATCAACGTCTGACGAAGTTAAAAGAATTCAATCAGAAAACGACAGCGATTTCGAAGCAGATTTAGCAACTCCGCAGTGTTTCAATCAAGAAGAACTAAACGATCTTATAAAAGACCTGAATCTCTCAAAGGAATCCGCTGAATTACTTGCATCCAGATTAAAAGAAAAAATCTACATTGTCGAGGTACTAATATTACATTTCATCGTAAAAGAGATAAGGATCTGCTGCCTTTTTTTACTCAGGAAAATGACTTGGTATTCTGTAATAATATAAAAGGGCTCTTAGAAAAAATGGGTTTGCCTGAATACACTCCAGATGATTGGTGCCTTTTTATTGACAGTTCAAAACGTAGTTCAAAATGTGTTCTTTTACATAACGGTAACAAATATGGCTCAATTCCTATTGGTCATTCTACTACCATGAAGGAAGAATATGGAACAATAGCATTAGTTTTGAGAAAAATTAAATACGAAGAACATCAGTGGTCAATTTGTGTTGATTTAAAAATGATTAACTTCCTCTTCAGACAGCAGAGTGGTTATACAAAATATCCTTGTTTTTTGTGCCTTTGGGACAGCAGAGCTAAAAATGAGCACTAGGTTAACAAAAATTGGCCTTCAAGAGATGTCATGATTCAAGGAATACAAAACGTGATCAACGAACCTTTGGTTTCAAGAGAAATAATCTTTCTTCCGCCCTTGCATATCAAGCTAGGCCTAATGAAGCAACTTGTGAAGGCCTTAAATCGAGATGGAAATTGTTTTGGGTATTTGTCACGTAAATTTCCTGGCATTAGCACGGAAAACCTAAAAGCTGGTATATTTGATGGTCCTCAAATAAGGCAACTTGTTAAAGATCCACAATTCACCACATCAATGATAATCGATGATTTTCAAAACTACCACAGGTCCAATGTCCGAATGAGGGAGAAATAACACTTTGTGACAAATCACGTGAGCTCCCTCTATCGAAGAAAAGGCGCATCAACTCACCTTTAGTGCGAATAATACATATCACGCCCACATTGTGATATTCTATAATCCTGGTAGGAATTCAATTTGAAGCATATCTTGAGAACAAATGCTAAACCTATCAAACTTGTACATTCAAACAGAGTAAACTAGTGATGAACTCTGGCTAAGATTAAGTTTGCAAACTATTCTCGAAGAAATATACTTCTCATATGAATGAGGGTCGTCTATTCGCTCTTCAATTCCGCTTTCAACGATTATAACAAAGCTCTTACATCCGTTTATTTACATTCTAAAATACGCGGAGGATATGAATTTCGTTATGAATTATGCGAAATGAAGTTTGATGTAACGTTGCGTACTCTCAAACGAACTGGATGGAAAAGTGACAACAGCAAACAAAAATTAATGAAGTTTGGGACGATACAAAGGGCCATTAAACACGGTAGATGGGGCAATACAGACGTGCAAATTATTCAGATGAAAAAGTAAAACCACCGAGGATGGTTGTTGTTTTTCAAGTAGGTACGCGTTTATAATTTACCTCTAAAATGTTTGTATATTCGCAATTCGTTCAATGAGAAAAGACATATGAAGAAAGCCGAATATATTTCATTTCAAGTTCAATGAATATATAATGGACTAAAATACTTGTGTTGTTTATTTTGTTATCCAAATACATGTTTCCATTCCAATTCACTCAGACGTGTTCTAACCAATTCGAAGCCTTCTCATCGACACATACCAAAAACCTGCTGATTAGTTCCAAATTTTGGAATAATTTTCTCGTTCAGGTTCGAAGTGTGTATATATATATATATATATATATATATATATATATATATATATATATATATATATATATATATATATATATATATATATATATATATAAGATTGATTTATTGCCTGTTTAAGATATTTTATTTTGAATTTCAATTGAAAGTTATTATCAAAATTAATATAACATATTAAAAGAAGCCTGTAATTGCTAAAAACATTAAAAAAAATATATATATATATATATATATATATATATATATATATATATATATATATATATATATATATATATATATAGTAAATACTGAGACTTTTAATTGAAATATCGAAATATTTCAAATAAAACTCTCTGTCTACACAAATGATGTCAACGAGACAACATGTTGACAACATTTGTGTAGTGTACAGCTCCCTGAGAGTTTTATTCGAAATATTTCGATATTTTACGATTAAGAGTCTCAGTATTTACTATATATATAATTACCTGTATAATCTTTGAACTATATATATATATATATATATATATATATATATATATATATATATATATATATATATATATATATATATATATATATATATATATATATTTAGCTCTAAGAAAGCTATACAGAAGAACATGATTGGATTTTATAAACGTCGTAATTATTCATAAAAATAATGGAACAGTTCGTTATATTAAAGTACTAAAAACTTACAACCAATACTAAAATCAAATACCAACAACTGTTTTCGTGAATTTTTCAACAAATCCTTTCAGATCGATTTCAACAATCACTGATATCATTAGAACGAA